ATTTGCCAAATATAAAAGGAACATCGTAGTTTGGTTTAAAGAAGGCAATTTGGTTTAATTATAATTTAGTTTGATGCAAGGATTTTACAGTTTTGTTAGGTTTACTGTATGCTTTATACATCATGTGCATTGTTACTTTATTAGCCAGATTAGAGAGAGTAGAAGGCCTTCCTTCACATTGTGGATGTCACTGTGTGTACGGAGGTCATCTAATCAGGGCAGCCTTCATGTCTTTAATAATACACAGGATATGGGCACATCTTGGAGCCTGACTGATAGAGGAGAGCTATCTGTAACCCTGAAGCATAGAGGCAAGCTGCATATAGTTCAAGACATGGATGGCGTGTCAGTTTCTGATACGGACAGCTAAACATCCACCTGGTGCAACACATAGACTCATGAGCTATAAGAAGCAGGAGATGAACTTGTTCGGGGATCATTCTTGCCGGACGGTCGTGATTTTTGAGCCCACAGCTGTTCATAGCTCCAAGCATTTTCTCTGTCCTGTAACGACCTGAACTGGAATAAACTCTGTTACTTTTTTACTCCTGTTTTTATAGTCCTTTTTTATATGGTTTTACCCAGTTTGAGTTAAGAGTAGTAAGTAACTTGCTCCCAGAAAAAGAACTGTGAGGAAGCCCCCGAGGCGCAACGGCTTTTTTAGGGGACATAACTTCCTCATTTGACAGTTTGAAGAAATGGAAAATTAGACCATATGCCAACCGTCACAAGGATGAGCATGACAAGGAAGGGCTATATATACTGCATGCTTCATTTAGTTAACATTGGATTACTTCTGGAGCTCCTTGAGTTATTTACTGTCACAGGTAGGAGCTTCGGCCGGAGAGGAAGTGTTGGGGCCGGTATGATTAAAGGAGGGTCGGTCCTAATTTCAGTGTGTGAGGGCAAATGCCTGCTGTCACAGATTACCAGTCCGAGCCGGATCAGTACTTACTTGCTTCTGGTTAAAAACAGGTGCCCAGTCAATTCTTGGCATCCGTTGCACGTCATCAATTTGCTCATAGAGATTCACATAAACAGATGTGTCGTCTGACCATCGGGTATGAAGAGCAATGATGCTGGAAGAAAAAACAGAACAACCAAGAAATGTGAATATAGAAGACCAATAGAATAGAATAGAATCAGGTAAAAAAGTCTGTGAAACCCATTTAATCTTGTTGCCATTTAACAGAAACTTGATATTTGTCATATTTCTCTCACTCTTTCTCAATATCTGCAGCTTGAGGATGCTTGAGCTTCTTGAGTTTGTCAATGTCGAGGAAGAGGTCCCTAAGAAGGCCTTCTGCGTCACCCAGTTTAGCATTGATCTGATCCTGATACTGAAATTCGCGATCATTCTTGTCATTTTCTTGGTCCTGAAGGGTAAAAAAAGAAAAAAAAAAGAGTCTTTAAGAGATCAAAAATGAGAAGTTCTTTGACTTCTCCTAAAAGACATTTCTCTTTTCTCACCACTTTCAGCTTTTCTTCAGACCAGAGGACGTCTTTCTCCACCTGGTCAGCATCCGCCTGCATCTTAGCGAGCAGGATGGTCATACTGCTGGCCTGAGCCCTGCAGAGAGAGACAGCTGCCAGTTAAACTACAAAAATACAACAAATATAATTCTCCATATTTCATGCCCTTTTAGATCATTTTATAGGGTTTATACTTTTACAGCATTACATTTTGTACTTTGTTAACAAAGTACATTTAAAGGAACAGTATTTAAGTTTCAGCCAACTCAATTAAGTAAATGTGAATAGCTGAGGATAAGAATGTATTTGGCAAAAATATTAAGGTAAAAAATCTGACTTCTAAAGGATTTTGGTAAATATTTCAAAGTAAGGCAGGGTAATTAAAATACTTTGCATGGAAAATCAAATTCTTTAATATTTCTCTATTTTTATTTATTTTAGACTTTAGATCAAGATGAAAATTTTGATTTTATATAGCCTTAGATTCTAATATGATAAACATTTAGGTCGATAGAACTTCAAACCAGTGTTAAGGATGGAAATATAAAGTTTTGCAATACTGATACACTGGTGGGAGATCGAGCAACTGATATAAAGGAAGTTGTTTAAATCCTAACTTTTCAAATAACTCACTAAAAATATACAGAAAGGTGCATTGCCAACATGGACATACTAGAAATGCAAAAATAAAAGTCATCTTGATTTGTACTAACAGTTAATTGCCAATTTGGAACTTAGAAAATCGGATCTTTTCGCAAATCATTGAACTCTTCATTGATTTGGGTACCAGGGAATCCAAACAACAATCCTGTTCAGTAAGGATTTTAAAGACTGCTGTAGGTATCAATAGGAAGTCAAAGCAAACAGGAAGGTGAAAGAATCACTTTAAAGGAGGCTTTATTTCCAAACAGAGATGGAGACGTGCAAACAGCTTGTTCAGGGTGAGAGAGAGCAACACTTACAGCAGAAAACAGGATGGCTCAGTAAAACAGGGTAAAAACTTTGCTCTGGTTGTTTTTTTAGTGTTCAACCTGTTTCTGTTTTAGACTTATCTTGTTAAGGTACAGATCTACATTTAGAGAAAATTTAAACACAGCCTGTTGTAAAATCTGTAATCACTTCTTTTTTTTTTACCTGAACAACCTTAGTTCTGCTGGAGGTTTCTTCCTGTTCAAAAGGAGTTTTTCCTCTCCACTGTCGCTACAAGCATGCTTAGTGTGGGGGATTCCCTACGATTCAATAAGTCGATGCAATCAACTGGTTTTCCTTAGATAGAAAACTTTGAATCAATTTAACTGGATTATCTGGTGAACTGGAAAGTGCCTTGAGATGACGTGTTGTTAATTGGCGCTATAGAAATAAACTGAACTGAATTAGTTAAACCATTTCTTATAGTGACACATATGGTACCGCTGACCATGGCAGGATGCCCGCAATAAGTCCCATATTATCCTCACAAAGCTTTTGAAGGGAAATCAGAATTGGACAATATGTTTGTTGGCAAGTCGGAGTAAATCAAAGTTCACGACTGGGAGGTGATTCCTCTAATAAAGATCCACAAATTTTCAAGAACATCTTTTTACATTTGGGGACAAGAGCTATGAGAGGGCTAGCAGCTAAAGAAGAAAAGTGAAAGGGGATGGATGAGTTTAGATATATTTTTTAGATGTGTCATTGTCCGATATATTTTATTCACCTTAAACCTGTAAGAGTTAAGATCTGACCGTAAGTGTGTACGTTATTGTAATTCCCTTTGTGAAATATTAAAATTAAAATAAAAAGACGCAGTTTAAAAAATCTGATCTACTGGAAACACCCCCAGCATGGCCATGTTAGCAGAAACACAGCCATAAAAAAGACTGGTTGTTTTTACAGTTCTTCAAGCTGTACGCTGAGGCGCTGCTGCCCTTCTGTTCTTTCCTCCTTAGTCAAAAGGAGCCGGTTTGATCTGCTCACTCAGCTGGAAAAACAGGTAAACGCTCCACGCACAAGCATCTTCATGGCAGCACCTACATTTTTCCCAACCTGAGCAACGGCTGATAGTTAAAGAGCTAAATCCTGGGCTACTGAAGTATCAACCTCACTACACTGCAAAAAAAAGAAATCTAAATAAGTCATTTTTTCTTACAATATGTGCATTTTGTCTTGAATTGAGGAGGTAAGTGAGACACTGTGTTATTTCAAGTGCATATTTTCAAATTAACTTATTTTAAGAGTAAAAATACTCATTCCATCGGAAAATCATCTTATTTACCTACCCAAATTAATAGTAAATACACTTAATTTCAGACATTTTTGCTCATTTCTAGATCGCTTTTGCAGTGCAGGAGGGTTCGGAGGAAATGCTGGATAAAGAATTAAGGATAAAACATGACAATCAGATATTTGATTGGGACTTTAATACTTTCACCGCTGTGCATCTCTGCTTGCTTTGCATTTGATTTCTTATCCTTAATATATATAATTTTTAGAACAGACAAAATTTAGATACAAAGCCTGAATCTAAGTCTAAGTCTGGATGAAAATGACGGATGCAGAAGTAAAAATCCCACATTAATGGAAATGTATAACAGAGCATCTGTAAGGTGGGGTAGATGTCTGACCTGTTTACCTGGGCGCTATGTGGACATGTGAGGTCCTTAGCAACAGCTCACACCCTCAGACATGTTTGGTTTCCAAGGCTTCTTCCTGTCTCGGCATCATTTTCTCATGTGTGTTACTCTTAAACATGGGTGGACTTTTAATGAAATGACTTTTTCAGTTTAATTG